ATATACAATAATATATATACAATAAATACATACACCGTTTCACACAATCTATTTTTATAATAATACAAAGAACTGGTATTACAAACATTATTGCTAGCGATCTGTAATCTTTCATGCATGGTCAAAAGAATAGAAATTATCTTTAATTGATTTCAAATTAATTATGTACATGAATGGATACAGCAATTTTTTCTTTCCATTTCATTTATTTGCAAAATTTTATATTAATTAATTGGCTTGTATTCTTTTTACAGTGCATGAGAGAACAAAAGAAAAATGAAAGAACTATAAATCTATCTTTATGTCGATATACAATAAGTCTCTAATTTGGCAAATATATAAATTAAAATTATTCAGAATATAACATTATAATATATATGAGAAAGAAGAAAAAAAAATTAAAACGCGTCATTAATATATATCATAAAGCATGTATATATTAGAAAACAATATTATTGTATAAATTATACTTTTTCTGGTTTATTTTACATTTTGCAATATATATGTGTATGTGCGCGCGCGCATGTACACACACGGAATCTCTATAATTTATTATATATTACACATTATATAAAAAAGTCAACATTTTATGTAGATAACATTATGAATCAAACAATATAAGCCAATTAAATTTATCAATTCATCAAAATAAAATAAGCTAATTTCATAAGAAAGTGCAAAATGTGAGCACATAAAAACAAATTTCTAATACAGTAGGTAAAAAATAAAGACAATTACATATATAAGTATTACATATATGTAATGAGAGAGAAAGAAAGAGAGAGAATTTGATACAAATGCATGTCAAAAATTATATGTTATAGGTTTTCTTATTATTTAACTTTAAATAATTGTACACTTGTCTGTAAATGTGAAATGCGGGTCACAACTGTCCATTTTTTGCATGTATGCAAATGAAAGTATCTTTAATTGAATATATATGTTATATATCAATGTCTTTATAACTGCAATAATACATTACATTGAAATATTTTTCCAAAACTTGCTCAGTATATTGTGCGTGTCGATTAAAAACAAATAATAAATAAACTTTATTAAAATTTATTATTTTAGATATATTTATATCAGTCGAAATTTTAGACGTAGTACCTTGTACATATTCTCCCCACATAAGCGCAATTGTGTTAAACATGAAATAAAATATCTAAATTACATGCTGTTATTTTGCTTCCAAAAGCATTAATGACATATAAACAAATACAGAAATAACTAGATTTACAAAAATCTTGATGATAATATTATTATTATAGATCTCTAGTCTCGTTTTTATACTTTTGGAATATAAAATAAAATTGTTGCAGAACAATTTTCTTTAAATTATCTCTCCCGAATTATTTCTCTTATAATTACAAAATAATTATATTACAAATATCATTATTTAAAATAATTATATTACAAATATCATTATT